CGCACCCACTTTTTAATTGCATCAGTACCATCTCTGGGGTTTCTCTGAGACAGCCATTGTTGTTGTTTTCTAGAATGTTTTGACCCACATTAAAACTTGTTTATAGATTTGCCAGAAGCAAAATAAAAAAACATTTTCAGTTGCTCTTCCACCATACCCTTTAAACCAAGATAGCATAGCTTTCCTGCTATCCTGCACAGGTATATCCTGCCATTACGGTAGCTGGAGGTAGGTGAGTAAGAGTAACAAGACTGCTTCAATAAGTCATGAGTTATGTTTGTACAAATAAATGATTGCTGCACTTGAGTGTTATTGACTGAAGGCTGATGGTAAAGTTAAAACAGAATAATCACTAATTCAGTTTTTAATTTCCTTTCTTAGTGTACCACTGGTCCAAAGAAAACTTAGTCATGAAGAAAATTTAGATAAATGTGTCATTTTTAAAGCCGAAGTGCATTTTTCACAAATGAGTTCACTAAAACAGCATAAGTATTTATTTATCTTTTTAAATACAAATATTCATGACATAATTAATGTTGTCTGGATTTCAGATTGAGGTGAAAAATTAATTCATTCTGGGTAATCATAGTTCTGCAAATATGTAGTTAAATCTCTCAGTGTTGCTAAACAATATAAGTATAAAATAAAGAGGATCTGTTTTGAGTAGAGGCAAGGGAAACAAAAGGAAAAACAGCCCGATTGTCACATTAATTCAATATACAATAAAGGTATATGTCAAGCCTCTCTAAAAGCGCTCCTTATTACCTGGTCTCCTCCTTGGATGTTTTCTACCGGGTAGTCATTGTTTAGAAAGCCCCTGCAGGGCTTCTATGCTTCTCAAAAGGATGTGCAATAGAGTATGTCACCCAAAATAATTATCTGCAACCCCTATCTTGCCTTAGACTACACGTCAATATGCACTCACTTGGTACTCAGAGACTGCATCTAATTTAGACCTGAAGGCAGACATACGTGAGTAATACTTACAGCAACAAAACATGATTGAAGATACAGTGAAAATAATTTGTTAGTTAAAAAGGGCATCAGCTGAAGAACTACAGTGCCATTTGTACTCTTGGTACTGTAATCTTTTTCCTTTTTATTAGCATCCAAGAATGAAATTGCATGATATGTTAAAGGAAGCAACAGAAGACACCAGAAGTACTAGTCTTGCAGCATTTAATTTGCTTTCTCAAGGTGCCTGGGTGTTGGTCTGGCTCTTATTCTGGGGCAAATTAAAACATATTCTGAGGTTAAAGGAATTATTCTGATTTAAAAATGTGCATGAAAGAGGAAAAAAAAATAGATCATATAATTATAAAATATAAGGCTTTGAGCTATAAACCAAGCAAAGCAATGGGACATTATGATGTGGAAGTTGATGCGATAGCTATACCAGAATTTTAGATGGAAGCTGTGGCATATATTTGTCAACTGCACAAGGTAAACAGGAATATATAACATAAAGTTACAGAACATTAAATGCCTTTTACGTGGTATTTGGCTTCACAGAATTCATGTGTGCTGGAATGGATAAAGAAGTTAAAATAGCATCGCTGTGACCCTTGTGAAAAACTACAAAGGCAGGAGAAAATATCAGGTGAAGAACTGTATTCTCCATCATGTACCCCAAAGTCTCATTCTTGCTGCAGCTTGCTCAACCTACAGCTACAGTGAGGGTTTTTCACCATTTGCTTTGGAGCAAGCAGGTCTCTAGTTGCCTTCTTACTAGAGAGGGGTGAAATCACTCTTGCTAAAGTTCATGGACAGGCTTGGTATTTCCTCAGAAGAATTCCTCTTCACCCTGTCTTTGTGCCTCATGTGGGAAGGAGGCCGAATATGGGCAAATGTCTAACTTGTAGATGTGTTTAAACTTTGGAGGTGATACAGCAGAGAGGATTATGTGGGTGTGTTCCCACAACTGGGAAGATGTAGTTTTGTCCTAGATCAACTTGAACATGTTCTTGGCTCCAACTTGAAGAAATTCACAAAATAACCATTGTGAAGCAGACTCCTGTGCCCAATACTGACCTGTCCCTGGCCTGTGAGCAGGAAAACAAGCTATTTCCATGAAGATTATAATATCCCTTCAAGAAACTACTTCACAATAATACCAGTAAACTTCTTAAGTATGTTTTGTGTGTTGTTTTTTTTGGTTTTTTTTGTTTTTTTTTCTTTTACAGTATCTTCCCCACAGCTTTTCAGAACACGGTGCTCTTCATGGAACAGAAAACTTGGAAATAATCACACAGCTCATGAAATCCACTTCCCTGAAGTTACAATATCCACAGCATAGCCATTGCAAATCATTGGCCACCAAACACATTAGTAAGAGCTTGAGAGTTGTTCAAAGAGACCAGCAGGCCAATTATGATGACCCACAGGAAGACTGAGGGCACTCCCAGTGCTTTAAATTTGTACTTCTGAGGAATTGGTCAAACAAAACGTCTTTTACGTACCTATGGAGCCTAAGACTTTGGGACTCCAACTCAGAAGAAACATTGACAGAATCTTCAGTGAATTGTGCAGCATTATATACAGCTATAGGAGTTTACAGGTTCAATTTTTAATTTCAGTTACAAATATGTGAACATTTTCTGACTTGCAGGTAAAGTTCCTGTAGAGGATATCATAATTTTGAATGGCAGGAATCCATAGAAGACAAGAGTTAACATAAATGGTCAGTTTGTCAAAATCATGAAAGAACTAATGTAGATTAATAATGAGGTCTAAATGAAATTATTCCTTCTTTTGTGAGGTACTGAGTACTAGGCTGCATAGTACTATCAGACCTATACTATAGGATAATGTTTTCCAAACATTCTTTTGTTCAAACAGCTTTCCACAACTGACTATCATCCAGGTCACATTATATAACTCCTATATTCTAATTCCATTTAAAAGAAAATTCAGGTACTATAATGAAGTTTATTTGTACATCTGTAAAAGCCTTATCTTGTCCCTTTTCCATACCTTGACTGTTGATACAAAATTATGAGTTCTGTTTATTTCAGTAATTTTTCATTGAGTAATGAGTCTACATGTTACCTTCTTTCATTCAAATGCACAGTTTTCACATAAGTTTTTCTTCTGGGTCATAATGCCAAGGAAATTCTATGATATCCTCATTATTCTGAGGTGACTGTTAATGTCTACTGATATTAAAAGGAATTTATGGAAACAGTTTGTCTAATGAGAAGTACCACTGTCAAACAATACCAATGATAACTGTATTTCATATACAAAAAGAGTAAATTAAGTTTGGAATGGCTAAAAAAGATTTTGCTTTGCTTATTCTTTATATTCATTGATACATCAGGAATTGAGGCATGAAATATGCCATCACAAGACTTTGCAGAAAAATCTAAGTATTTTAGGATTATACAGTTGAAATTCAGTATTGAGTAAACTGTCTGTTATTATTAAAGGATTTGAACAATTCAAGCAATTATTGATCTCTTAATTTCTTTTATAACAACTTCACTTACCTTCTATACAAAGCACAAAAGTACTCTGAGAGGAGCAAGGACATCTCATTCTACAAAGCACTTGGCATATTATAGATGCCACAAGAAATAGTAAAACAGACTAGCAACAGTAGTCACAGTAATAACAGATCTATTGCCTTAGGAAAACACAGTTTAAAAAAATCTGGTCAGACCAGTGTGCAAGGAGCTGTAAATAATGCACTGATGGCATTACATGGCCTATTGCTCGGAGAACACTGCTCCAGGAAACATCTTCTAATGATGCCATCCCACAGACTGACTTTGCTGCCTTGCATTTATCACTTGAGTCCTTTTATTTCACTCATATATTTGACTTTTCCTTAAAAAGTTGCAAAGTAATCTCCCCTAAAATGTAATTGGATTTCTTTAATCTGTTTTTCTTTTGAACCCAAAATACAGGGGTTATAAAACTTAAAATTACTGCTGAGGAATTGTGACAAAACAACAACCCATCTAACACAAATGCCCCAATTTTTGTAAATAATCAGAAAAAATATATTTTCACAGTTTAAGAAATTGAAAATGAATAAGCCGTATCCATTCTTTATGACTTGTTGAAACCAAACCAGTAGCTACACTTCGCCTTTTCCTGACATAGCCATTACACACATGGGCTTGGATATGCGCAATATCATTCAGAGGCTTAGTGAAAGATCTCTGGCTACTACCAAACATCTTGTTGTTCTGTCTATCATTACTATGTATATGACAGATGGGGTTAGTACTGTGCCCCACATGTTTTTATCATTCACAGCCTCCATATGTAATTGCAAATAGCTTTCAGAGATAATACTTGCAATAAGAAACAATGAAATCTTACATAAACATTCATGACAAAACGTTAGAAAACAAATATATTACACTTTTTTTAAAATTTGGAGTTTAGATGAACAGTCGACAACATTGTGTGAGAATAACTACAACATAGATTCATTTAGAGAAGTTTTAAAGTTTTTAAGAATAAAAGTTCCAAAGTTTTAAATAATAAACTTCTGTAAATGCATAACATCATTGCAGTTCGATTCGGTACAATTTCAAGGACTGACAAAACTCTTGCTTTTACTTCAGTATAAAACCTGGCACTCCACTGGGCTGGATAATATTTTAGATTCATTAAATGCAAGATAATCACATCTATTAGACAGTTCTTCTTATATCACATCAATTTTACTAACTAGAATCTAAGAGAAAATGCTTAAATTTTCCTCACATGAGTAATCATATTCATGACAATGAGATGACATAGAGAAGTACAAATAAGTCAGAAGTGATGTATTTAATAAGTCAGCAGTTTATAGCACTAAATATCTTGTAAAACCTAGGTAACATCTAATACTTTGAAAATTCTGCCAGATCCAACTTCATGGAAATACATTTAGATGTAACAATGGCAAAACAAACATACTAGTCCCCAAGGCACCCTGAGCAGATGATATTTCAAATAGAAAAGAAGGAGAAAACAATATTCCAATGATATGAACAAGTCCTTACCTAGTGGCTGCCCTGCGATGATCCTGGCATTCTCTCCTGCCACTGCAGCCCTTGCATGCCTCTCGCTCATGTACTGTACAAATGCATAACCTTTGTGCACTGAGCAGCCAACTATTTTCCCATACTTTGCAAAGATCGCCTCGATATCACCTTTTTTGACAATGGCTGTGTTCAGATTGCCGATGAAGACTCTGGAGTTGATGGATTTTGGGTCATTCTTATTGGTGACGTTGCTGGTCTGTGTTTTGCCGGTCATGGTTGGATCACTTGTCTTTAACCTTAAATAAAGAATGAAGAGAATTATGTTTCAAATCATACAGTTACCCCTGATTCTGGATGTTTTTTTCCATCAATAATTTACTTTTCATTTTTCACTTATAGTGGATCTAAATTACAGAAGAGTTACACCTTTTAAAAACTATTATCAATAAAACCAAAACAGCAAATTTAAAATACTGCTCATAAGTAAAACTAAACAGTTTATATATATATATATATATATATATATATATATATATATAAAATATACCAATACATCTCTTAATACAATGCTGTGATAGTGGAGCTTTACTGTAATCATATGTGGATTTGCACTTAGAAATTCATTATTGACTTTTTAAGCACCTAGCCATCTAGGAACTGCAAAACAAGGGAATGAATCATTATCTTATGTCAAAGAACTGAACATTCAAGGCCATATAGAGAACAAACTAAAAATGAAAGACAACTCTGCTTTTGTTTGGTGTCAGCCAGAGCACATTTCTCACCAGTTAAATATCATTGACCACTGTGAGGATTGCAGAGGAGGTAACATACAGTTCTTTACTGCAATCAATATGTTTCTATCAGAACAACTTTCCCTATTAATTCAGTATAAAAAAGAAAAGAGGAAGGACAAGGGAAGCATAGGTGGCTTATGTTTCTGGAATGTAAAAGTATGAAAACAAACTTTCTTAATTATAGGAACACAGATTTGCTTGCTGCTTTGCTCTTTCCTCGGTCACAAGTCTAAATGCATCCTAGCATATCTCAAATGGAAATACCTACATTATTCCTGGAAAAGTTTGGTCAAGAGAAATAAAAAAAAAAAAAAAAGAAAACCCAACACTTTTTGTGTTCATCTAGCCTCACACTTCTGAAGTGTTCCTGATTTTCTTAATTTGTACACAAATTCCACCTGCCAGCAGGTCCCTCCATTTACATCCATTTGCTTAGATGGAGGAAAAATGAAAAAAGTTGTCCTGTCTTTCTGCTGGGTTTTATTTAGCTATATTTTCTTTAGCTATATTAGACAACAGAAATGTCGCATATATAGATATAATGGATATATAATAAGTAGTGAAATCTTATTTTGTAACAAGGAGGTCATTTAGACAGTAGTCAAATATAGGCCATGTCCTACAGCTAAGAATTATGTTACTATTTTTCAACCTATTCATACTTTTGATCATATCACAGTAATAGCTCAGACAAGAAAAGAATCCAGTTAAATGCTGCTCACAGTTAAAGCTCAGTTAATTTCTCGGGATGAAAAGGAATAATGACCTCTATTCTGGACACCTAAATCTTGATACTAACTAGCAAAAGTTCCATATTTTAAATCAATAGCTACTATATATTAAGCTAGACTGACAAAAAAAGAAACCATTGTTACTGAACTCTGCACAGTTCCTAGTGAACAAAACGGTGATGACCGCAGCCATCAGCACTTTGACCATCTCCATCACATAGGATCCAAATCCCATCCTTCAGGTAAGAATGTGCAATGGAGATGTGTGGGCAGTCCTCCCAAGTCCTAGTAAACAGTCTGCTTTATTATATGAACACATGCAGTGGAGGTATCAGTCAAATAGCTGTCACTTGCTTAACGATATGACAGCTTACTTCATATTACAGCATTTAGAGAAAAAACTGTAGAAAACAAGAAAAAATGTTTTTTCTGTAACCTTATTAATTCTAAATACTTTCTGGAAATACAAGATACTATATACATGCACAAATTTCATAATGGAAAACCATGAAAACTACCTTGATGAAAAGCCTCTGAACTTTATCATACAATAGACTCAATACTGTATATTTCTAGATTGCTGTGCAGATCATGCATGTTGAAGTCATGTTTATATATAGTTAATTTGAATATTGAGAACAGTCATAATAGTGTGTTTGGTACCATAATAGTTTGAAGGCAAACCATCTACAAAACATAAATACAATGCACATTGAACTCCATGCTGGAATAGATTGCTGATATTATCTGAGAACTAGCAAGTTTAAACCCATCTTAGATATACCTGTATTTATACAGCAGTCAAAATGACAATAGCATAACCACGTTAGCTTAAAGAGCCCTAATGACCCAAACTGAAGAGGTAACATGTCAGAATAGCCAGTCATAAAGTTAAAAGTTGATGCAGTCTAGTAGCTGGTGAATGGGGAAACACTGGTATCCCCTGTGATGCCAAGATGCACAACACTTCAGTGTGTAAATTCCACTTCTGTTGGGAAAGTTAACATGGACAATACTGTGTTCACTTTTGTGAAGATTCAGAAAAAAGCGCTGTATCTGTCCGTATATAATTCTTAGCATCTTGTTAATGTTGTCTGTGTACGTTTATCAGCTGCGTAGCTGAACTGGTTTTACTACACTCACAGAGGTAGTGTCTCACAAGTAATACCACTGGTCTAGAAAGCAGTAGACTTGACTGATAGAGCTGTCTCTTCCACTAGCCTACTGTATGACTCTCAGTAAGACACTTTTTTGTGTCTCTGTTTCTACTTCTTAGACTTCAGACTTGAATTTTTTTGACTAAGAGATGTCTCTCAATCTATTTTTATATAACTTCTAACAGAATCATGTGACTTCAGCTGGTATGTTTTGGCACAACCGATACACTGATAATAAAAATGACAAGGGGACAAAATCTACAGAAAATCTTCTGCCAGACAAGACTTTCATGAAAATTGTACACAATGACAGTCTTCAGTTATTACCATCAGAACTATTTTCAAAACACTAGAGTACTACAGTCTGTATTTCTTTCATTGTTTAGCCATTTAACATGGGATTTAGTGAACTAGTCTGTTTTTTATTTCATAGAAATCTTAATTTTATTTTTTTCCAGTTTTACAATCCACTAAATTAAATAGGCTTTGACTAGGAATTGAATATTTATCTCTTGTAGTTGTTCTCTGCAATGCAAATTTACAATATTTTTATAACACAAAGAAAAGTAGTTGTCTGATGGGTTCTCTCATATTCAAATGAGCAGTCAGGAAAACATGCTGCAGAAATTCAAAGTGTGAAAATAATATTAACATGTGAATAATTGAGATTTGATTGCCTCACCCATTGACGTACAACAGTATTGTGACCGTTTCGTAAAAATTAAAGATACGTGGGATCTTCATTATAATGAGAAAGAACTTCTGGTACGTTTTACACCTCACTTACTATATGCATCTCTGAATACTGCATTATACCTAGCTTCTCAGCTATCAGTAAAATCACAAACATTGTAACTCATACAACCACAGAAATAAATGAAGAAGTGAGAGAAACATATCTGAAATAATCTTATTTCTTTGCAGCCTTTAATAAGGTATCTTGTTAATTTCCTATTATTGCAGTGATGCTTTCTGGTAATAAATATCCTCTATATGCCAAATATGTCTCTTAAATACTTTATGAATAACATCTAGATGTCAATATACTTCATCCTATTTATTTATTCGCCGCACCTTATTATATGCTACATCATTTTATGTAGAAGTTGATTTAATTATTTTACCCAGAATTAACTAGTTTAAGTCTTGGTGTACTTGAATCTAAAAGTTATAAATTAGACCATTTCCATTACTACATAGATCTCTGATTCAAAGAGTAAAGTTTACAAATCTGTATTAAACATTAAAATTTCTAACACATTAAACAGGAATGAAAATACCAATTACTAAAATGAGATTCCCATTGTCCAGCACACACATGGGACAAGTCTAAACCAGTCAATTTGAAGGGGGACAGATTTTAAGCCCTGGCTTCCTTCATTTTTCCAACATTTTCTGATGAAGGTCAGTTAAGGACCATCATGACAAAGCATTGCTTTGTGGCTGTGAAACTCATCTTTAGACCCTAAGATGAACATTTGAACCCACATCTCCCACTCATATAAGTTCCTCCTATGGTTCAGAATACTGAAAACAAAGATCCTTTTTTACAGTTGTGCTGTGTCCCAGGGCAGGGAAGAGCACAGGACTTGAAGCAAAGGAAAAAGGAACAAGTTGTCAAATTCTACATCCCAGTAACTCCCAGGCATTCCTACTGGGGGTACTGAAGGGTCTATGATAGTCTTATTGGAACTCTGCTCCCTCTGCTGCTTACACATTTTACCAATGACTGTTCACAGCAAAACGCAAAATGCGTCTTTGAAGAGACAACATTTTGGTCAAACTGCAAAACAATTTGGGACAGATGGAGATTTGACCTAGCTGTTTGAAGGGATTTTGAGAGCAATCCACTTCAGCATCTTCCTAGTTGTACAACAGTTTCTCGTCTTAAAAGACTGATGGGAACTCACGAGCCCAGGTAAATTTCTACTGAATAATGAAAATTTGTTTCAGAAATTTTCCTATGCTGAATAGACCAATGAGGCAAACCTGAACAAATCTGGTAGAATTAAATTCTCAGATAAATTTCTTTAAAAGAGGTTAGAAAAGATTTACACTGATTTTTGTTTGTTTGTTTTTTGGTTTGGTTTTTTTTTTGTAAAATCTATATCCAGTTTCACTTTTAAAAAATTTGCCTCAACAAGTTTAGCAGTACTTTGATTTTTTTTTTTTTTTTTTTTTTTTTTTTTCTTTTGTAAATAAACCATTTGCTTCTTCTAAGCAAATAGAAAAAAATTATATAACTTTTCAATGAAGTAAATATTACTTTCAGTGACTTTTGGAAAAATTAAAGTCTACTGAGGAAAAAATGAAACAAACAAACAAAAAAGAAAACCTTTAAAGAAAACTTAAGCACTTTCTGAAAATAGTTAGAACCATAGTGCTTACACTGTGAGAGATTTAATATCAAACTTTTATGTACTTATTATATTTACAAAGAAAGTATTAGGAAAAATGAAATAAACTTTAATTCCCCCGAAAAAAATTTCAGTTTGAGATCATGTGTAGAGCTAAACCAGGAAATAACAAGCACTCTTTATCAGGTTTGTGTGATAGCAAAAGACTAATTCTGTGGAGAAAGATTTTTAAATATGAGAAGTTCCATCCTTCAC